CCCCACGATTCCTTTGCTCCCCACGGTGCCCTTTACAGGAAGCCACGATTTCTGCCCTTTAAGGGTGGGAATAGTGAAGTTCAGGGAGATGAAGAGGCCAAGGGAGGTACTGCTGCTGGGAACTTGGGTTCTGAGCTTGTGGTACTAATTGGCGCCCTCTGCTGGGCTCCACACAGTTGACACCCCTACTTCCCCTACCCCACCTGGGGCAAGCCACTTAAAACCTTCTGTGCTTTTGCCCTGAGGATAAGAATCAAAGTGTGAAAACTCTGCAAAGTGACAAGAAGCCACCACTGCATGATGTCAAAAATGGGAGCTCAGTGTTTCCCCAGATGCCTGACTGCAGTCCTGCCTCAGGGCTGGGATCTATCCCCATTTACACACAAAGACACAGCCAAGCCCAGTGTGGCAGGGCATCCAGGCTTTGGAACAAGTTTTGAGTTAGACACAGATCAAGTTCTGTGGCAAACTTCCTCTCTAACTCCCTGTCTGCAGAGTGAGATTAAACGCTGCCTCAAGAGGTCCTTGAGGCAACATCAGTGCTTAGCAGTTACTGCCTCTAGTTGTGGACCTCTTGTGTAGGACCCTGGGCCTATCTAAAGGATCAATATCTTGAGAGATGGCTCAGGGATTAAGAGCACAAATTGTCTTACCAAAGACCTGAGCTCGATTCCCAGCACCCATATCCAGTGGCTCACAGCTACCTATAATTCCAGCTCCAGAGGATCTGACACCCTCTTCTGACATCCAGGGGCATTTGCACTTGTATGCACATTTACACACACACACACACACACACACACACACACACACACACACGATTTTAAAAATAAAATAAACCAGGGCCGGAGAGATGGCTTAGTGGTTAAGAGCAAGTATTAGTCTTTCAGAGGACCCAAATTCCCTTCCAAGCACACAAGACAGGTGGTTCACAGAACCCTGTGACTCCAGCTCCAGGTTATCCAAAGTCTCTGGTCTCTGAGAGCACCCACATACACATGGCCTACACTCACACACACACACATATATATACATGATTAAAAACAAGTCTTTAGCTGGGCTGTGGTGGCACATGCCTTCAATCCCAGCACTTGGGAGGCAGAGGCAGGCAGTTCAGGGCCAGCCTGGTCTACGGAGCTAGTTCCAGGACAGACTCCAAAGCTACACAGAGAAACCCTGTCTCAAAACAAAACAAAACCAAAAAAAAAAAAAAAAACAAAGAATCTTTATTATTCTGGGCTGGAGAAATGGCTCAGAAGTTTAAGAGCACTGGCTGCTTTTCCAGAGGTCCTAAGTTCAATTCCCAGTACCCACATGGTGGCTCACAACCATCTATAATGAGATCTAGTGCTCTCTTCTGGCATTCAGAAAGAACACTGTATACATAATAAATCTCTTTTTAAAATCTTTAAAAATATTTTTTAACAGGACTGGGGAAATGTCTCAATGGTCAAGAGCATATAGTGCTAATGCAGAGGACTCAAGTTCAGTTCCCAATACTCAATTCAGGTGGCACACAACTGCCTATTCCTGCTCGAGAGGGATCTGATACCTCTGGTCTCTGTAGGCATCTGCACTCATCACCCCCGCACACACACACACACACACACTCAAACACACACACTCTCCTGTGCGCGTGCACATATGTGTGTATATATATATAATTAAAAAAATCTTTAGTCGGGGCAATCGTGGCACACACCTTTAATCCCAGCACTCGAGAGGCAGAGGTAGGCGGATCTCTGTGAGTTTGAGACCAGCCTGGTCTACAAGAGCGAGTTCCAGGACAGCCTCTAAAGCCACACAGAAACCCTGTCTCAAAAAAACAAAAAACAAAAAACCCACCAACCCCCCCCCAAAAAAAACTTTAAAAATAAATAGGTGTAGTGGCATACCTTTAATCCCAGCACACTGAGTTTCAGGCCAACCTAGTCTATAGAATGAGTTCCAGGACAGCCAGAGATGATACATAGTGAGATCCTGTTTCAAATAAATAAATAACTGTAGTTAGAGAGGCTGCAGTAACCAATAGCATGAGGAGGTTTGTGGGGTTGGAGCTACCATGAGTAAGCTTTGGGGTGATCTCTGCCTCAGTTGGGAAAAAAGGACAAACTTCCAGACACTAGAGGGACAGGAAGGAAGGCAGAATGTGTGGAAGGCAGTCTGAGGAGCCCCTTGCAGGAGAGAGTCTACACTGGGCCAGGAAGGTCTGGTTGGTTTGGAGCAGCTCAAGATGGAGGGTGGTTTCAGACCAAGGAAGCTTTTTAGGGAACCGAAAGTCCATTGCTGTGACAAGAGGGTGGGGACTTGCTGGGGCTTGGGTGCTAAGGGAATTGAGGCTGAAGCTCCCCCACTGTCCTGAGCAGTGAGCCTGGGGGCTGAGATGGGGTGTGAGGAGAGCTACACCGTGAGTGTTCTGAGATCTGTTAGGAAGACCTCTTAGCTCGAGGGTGAAGTGAATGGCAGGGTATGGTGGTGGCTGGTGACACCACAGCTAATCCAATCCAGACAGGAACACTTGAGCCAGGAAGTCTGGTCTGAGAGGTGCACATTAGCTGAGCGGTGGAGCAACTCCTTTAGGTTCCACACCTGTGACCCAGAAGAGAGGCTAGCGGTCTTGTCAAAGGAGTCAGGCTGTCAAATGAGTTAAAAGTTAGGCCCCAGGGGCTGGACAGCAGGCTTAGGGGTTAAGAGTACACTCTTGCAGGGGACCTGGGTTTGGTTCCCAGCACCCTCATAGTGGTTCATAACTCCATTTCCGAGGGATCTTCAGGCCATCTGATACCCTCTTCTGACCGCTACAAATACTGGATACCTATATGCTGCTTATACATACATGCAGGAAAAACACTCAAACATAACACAAGTGAATCTAAAATATTTATAAAAATAACTGGGCCCTAGTAACAGGGAGTGGGGCCCGACTTGGCCCTTACAGAATAAAATTCCTCAGTGAAGAGCAGAGCAGTGTTGCCTCTTGATATGGGATCCTATCAGGTAGGAGGGTGCCCCCTTCTGGCCAGTAGATAGATGCTAACTCAGCCTAGCCTGGCTCTGTCACTTCAGGATCACTAGCTCTGATGGAAGTGCCAGTGCTAAGTGACAAGAGCCAGATGACCTGAAGGGGCTCTCTGAAGGAATGGGAAAGAGGGAGAAGGCAGAGCACCTGTGACTTTGCCAGTGACTTACACTGTTGGAAGCAGAGAGGTGGGTGGGCATCAGCCCACAGACCGGAGTGAAGACGTGGCTTTTCCTTGAGGAAGCCTTTACCCTGAAGGAGGGGCTTGTGGGATTGGAGAAGTAGCTGGGTCAGCTGTGTCTAAGACTAAGGATCCTCCCTCCCATGTGTGAGAGGCTCTGGTTATCTGCACTGACCGGGACTGTGAAAGCCCATCCCAGCTCACAGCAGACTCTTTCCACAGGAAGGGCCAAACCCTGACTCCAGCCTTGACTCAGGCCCACGCACAGCCCCAGGCCCGCAGCAGCCTTCTGGTGAGTGGTTTGGGAGATGGGCGTGGTGACCCACCTTGGCTCTGGCTGATTACAAATCCTTTGGGGGCCTTCTGCTAGCTGGAAGATCCTCACCTGGTTTCTGTCTGCAGGTGGGAACCCTCCTCCAGAGGAGCCACCCCCCAGTCCAGGGGAAGAGGCTGGCCTGGTAAGGAGCACTAGGTGGGTGGAACTGGTGTGGTATTTTCTGAGCAGGCCCTGTAATGAGCTCATCTGTCCTTGGCCATCCCCCTTCCACTCCCAGCAACGGTTCCAGGACACAAGTCAGTACGTGTGCGCAGAGCTCCAGGCCCTGGAACAGGAGCAGAGGCAGATAGATGGGCGGGCTGCTGAGGTGGAGAAACAGCTGAGGAGCCTCATGGAAACAGGTGGGACAGGCATTTTGGGGTCCACTCCTCCACAGTCTCCCTAGATCTGCCCAGCCCTGCAGCAGCTCTGACCTTGGGGGAGGCACAGTTAGGGTGGAAGAAGCCCCGTTGGAGGCCTTGTAGCTCAAGTTTGAAATGCCACTGGGAAACAAAAAGCCCCCTCCCCGATCCTCAGCCGCTCTGCACCGACAGGAGGCAGCTCTGGTGACTGCCCTGGCCTAATTCAGGTGCCAACAGGCTGCAGGAGGAGGTGCTGATTGAGGAGTGGTTCACCCTGGTCAACAAGAAGAATGCTCTCATCCGGAGGCAGGACCAGCTGCAGCTTCTGTGAGTCTGGGCTCCTTAGGCCCTCCCACCAGCTGGCTAGTAGATGGAATGAATCTTAGCTTTGCTGAGGGTTTGTCACTCCTTCCTGCCTGCCTGCCTGCCTTTGAAGATCTTTTGGGAAAATTTTTTGCTCCTCAATCTTATTAATATTTTGTCATATCTAACTTGCTGTATAAAAGCATACACCTTTTTTTTTTTTCCGTTTTTCGAGATATGCTTTCTCTGTGTAGCTTTGGAGCCTATCCTGGCACTCGCTCGGGAGCCCAGACTGGCCTCGACCTCACAGAGATCCACCTGCCTCTGCCTCCCGAGCGCTGGGATTAAAGGCATGCACCACCAACGCCCGGCTAAAAGCATACACCTCTTAATTTGGTACTCTTTAGTGAGAAAACAGGCCCTCCAGTTTGACTCTAGTTTTACAGTATGGAAATCAGGCTCAGAGAAATCTGAGCCGGTTCTGAAGTGGAGTGCCAAGCCACTCTCCCCATCATTACCTTTACCATCCTGCATGCCAGAGGCAGCTTTGCCTCCCTTTTGCATTTTGAGTCATTTCCCCAGAACAGCGTTAGTTTACCTTTTCACCCAAATAATCATTTTGGGGTATTTTTTTGTATAAGAGTGGGATGTGGGAAGCTGAGCATTGGTGGCACACAACTTTAATCCCAGCACTCGGGAGGCAGAGACAAGTGGATCTCTGTGAGTTCGAGGCCAGCCTGGTCTACAGAGTGAGTTCCAGGATAGGCTCCAAAGCTATACAGAGAAAGCCTATCTCGAAAAACACAAAAAAAGAAAGAGTGGGATGTGGGAAAGGAGCAACATTTCTGGAGTGTAACTGGAGGGCAGCAGGAGCAGCTGAGAACCCTAATGGCCCTCCGTGGAAACTATAAAGTGTAGTCGCAGCCTTGGGCACTCCCATCCCATTCTGTCTGACTTGGCACCCCTCCCCTTCAGCATCGAGGAGCAGGACTTGGAGCGGAGGTTTGACTTGCTGAGCCGGGAGCTGCGCGCCATGTTGGCTATTGAGGGTGAGAAATGGGACTGCAGAGGCTGGAGGCAGAACAGGGCCAGGGTGAGCACCCTCCTGACTCGGGCCCCCGTCTCTTAGAGTGGCAGAAAACCGTCGCGCAGCAGCACCGAGAGCAACTCCTGTTGGAGGAGCTAGTGTCACTGGTGAATCAGAGGGATGAGCTGGTCCGGGACCTGGACCAAAAGGAGCGAATGTGAGTCTGGGGACCTGGTTCTGGGAATTGGAGAGGCCTCAGGGCGCACTCCTAGAATGCCATATCTGGAATCTCACGTCTTGGAAGTAGGACCAACTTTGAGATTGACTTGAACCTTTTGTCCCCAGCGCTCTAGAAGAAGATGAGCGCCTGGAACGCGGCCTGGAGCAGCGACGTCGCAAGGTGAGCCGGCAGCTGAGCAGGCGAGAACGCTGCATGCTGAGCTGAGCCTCCTGCCTGGTTCTCGCCCTTTTCTCTGGTCACGGATCCCTCCTCGCCAGTCCCCGAGCCTGCACCTGCACAGTGCACAGCAGAGGACAGGCGCCCCCATGCTCCTTCAGCGAGCAGAAGCAGGGAGGACCCGGACCCGGACTGGAGCAGTTGAGCCTGCCAGGCAGTATTTATTTCTCCGAGTAAGAGTGAATGTTTTGGCGGTGGCCAGGATTCTAGGGGCAGTGCACAGAACTCTTCCCCTGTGTCTACAAAGGGATGGCTTGGGAACTCCTCCTTCCCTTCTGTGTCTGGAGCAATAAAGTTTGACTAGGACAAACCAGCGCTTGCCCTTTCTTAGTAGGACTTCAATAGAAGGAAGAGGGTGGGACTTACGCTAATACTCTGTGTGTGTGAGTCTAGCCCGTGCCAGCTGAACTTGGCAGGTCACAGATGTGACCTCCAAGGATGAGGGCCAGAGGAAATTTTATTTTGAAAGAAAATCCAAAACCACAGGCGTGGTGATGGTATACACCTATAAATCCAGTATTTGGGGTGATGGTGGAAGTTGAAAGATCAGGAAGTCAATGCCAGCCTTGACTATGTTGGTGGTAGCACATATTTTAAATCCCAGCACTGGAGACTCAGATCTCTGTGAATTCAAGGCCAGCCTGGTTTACCTTTGTGACATTGTTATAAAGGGAAAAAAAAATTGAAATGGGTCATTCAGCTTTTAACCCAGTGGATAAAAACATTTGTTGGTCAAGCCTGAAGATCTGAGTTCAATCCCTGGAACCACCTAAAGGTAACTAGGAGTGAACCAAACGCACGAAGTTGTCCTTTGACCTCCAAACATGCTCCTTGCCACCAGATGAGTGCACACCTCCACACCCCACATGCACTCACACAGTTGAGTTCTTTCTTTTCTGGTACAGGAAGATTGAGTCCAGAGCCCCCTGGTGCATGCTAAGCAGCCCATTTAATTTTTTAAATTAACACGATCCCTGACATTCTCATACCCACAAGCCCTTCCTGCTGTGTTCCCCAGGGCCTCTGGCTCAAGGTCTCCCAATGTAAATGAGCTGAAGTCCTGCCACCTGACTTGTATCAGCAAGCTGGGGACTGTTCTGATGCTGATGCTGGAGTGGTTTGCTCCAATGCTGGGGGGTCAGGAGGCATGGTACTTAGAGCCAGCTCATCTTGACCTAGGATGCCATCTTGGTCTTCATCTGTTCTAGAACCACTGGGTCCAAAGAATTTCACCAAGGCACGAATCTGTGGCAGCTCTGAGAAGGTCTCTACTGCTAACAGCATGGCCAGGAGCCCCAGGAGCAAGTAACCTGGGGAAAAGAGCTAGTTAGGGCAGCTCTTAAGGTGCTCACCACGGTGCTCCCCATCCACTTACCAGGATCATCCACCCAGTCACTACTTAGAATTCCCAACTCCACCCCCAGTGTTCTCTGGACTACAACAACCATTATGTGCCGTAGTGTAGGATCTCTCTCTGAGTTGTAGTCTAGACTCCTCTACCCTCCTCTTTCCTGGACTTACCAAGAAGTGCAAACTGTCCAAGGTAGTAAATGGCTGGATGCAGGCCACGTCCATGGCCAGGCAGCAAGTCTCCTAGGCCAATAGTGCTGAGTGAGCCGAAGCAGAAGTAGATGGCTTCCAACAGGCTGCAGTCACCCTGTATACCCCATAGCACCAGTGCTGGCAGCAGCACAAAGACACAGGCCACCAGGAGGCCCAGGCCTGCTGCCTGCAGCAAGGCAGCCTGGGCTGGTGCCAACCGCCACCGAACAGCTACCCAGGCACCAGGGCAATTGAACACAGGCAGCAGGCAGTGGCGCAGGGCAGCCACAAGTGCTAGGGAGGCTGGCAGCCCAAGGGCTGCATAGAACACACAGAAGGCCTTTCCACCCGCTGATAGTGGGGCCATATGGCCATAACCTGGGGAAGAACAGCAGGCAGCAAGCTTTTCAGTGGGGTGCCTATGGCGGTCACATTTTCTCCCACATCTCCTCCCACAGAAGTCTGCCTTTGGAGCCAAAATGGTATCAACACTTCAGGCTGGGGTCCTCTTTGACTGGATGGTGGGCAGGTCCCTTAACCTCTCTGGGCTACTGTTGTCTTTTCTGGAAAATTAATCCTGAAGACATTCCCCTAGACCTTTTGCAGCTGGAATAACTTAGAACTGATGTTCTGTCTTTGACAGGCCCTCCCTCTCTCCCTTTCCTGGACTTCAGGTGGAACCTAGGGAGCCACATGTATTCTAGGCAGGCACTCTACAGCTGATGGACCCCTAGTCTGAAACCCTCTTCCTGAGGTTTATCAGTTCTCATCTTAACCAATATTGACAAATCTACAATCAGTGGGGTGCCACCCCGCTTTCATTCCCCACAGGTGTGCCCGTCTTTCAGTGCCATATCTTGTGTTGCTCTGAATCTCCATCTGCCCAGGTGGATAAGATTTATGGTGGGGGAAACAGGCAAGAAAACAAGAAGTTATGAAAATGAACTTTTTCCAGCATGCATGAGAGAAACAGGAGCAAGAAAGGGAGAGGTGGGAGAGTGGTGCATGCTGGGAGAACAGGATCAACGGGGTTCACGGGTTGTAAACTCCAAAGCTCATAGGAATCAGATGTGAGGTAAGACAGCAGAGAAGACTGGATGGGCCAGGGCTTGTGTTCCCAAGGCAGGCCCTATTCTGCTCCAGCCAATTGGGAAAGAAGTTAGAAATACGTGTTACACTTTAAAAAGTATTTAGACTATTTGCAGGACAACAAAACAAAACAAAACCCTAGAGCTTATTTCCCTGAGCCTGAGCACATGCTGCTCTCCTAGCCAGGGCTTTCATCAACCCTACTTATTTCTGCACCCTGTTGACTGGGCTCTGAGAGCATCATTACCTCCTCTCCTCACCCTCTTCGGAGAGCAGCTACACTGTGTTTCCTGCAGCATCTAAGAATCTCTCCCACCTTGTCCTATTCTTTGCTTGGATTCAGGCCTATGTGATCTGGGCTTCTCTCCTGGATTCAGAGTGCATAGGGTGGAGCTGGGGAGGCCACACCCCTCCTGGCAACTTAAGTGGAGGCACCAGTCAGGGTGTGTTGTGTGGGGAGCCCCAGTTGTGATGCCAGGCCTGATAGAGCCTGGGCTTTGTCTGGAGCTTTGGGATAGGGGATGGGCTCTCAGATCCTCCTCCTGGATTGCCTGGGGGTGGTGGCCTACCGGTGGTGGTGAGGATGCTGGCAGTGAACAGCAGAGCTGAAGGCAGATCCCAGTTGCTTGCCTCGGAGCTGGAGCCGGAGCCTGAGCTGTTGCCCAGGCTGGAAACTCCATGGGCCTGTGCTCTCAGGGCAGCACTGAGCAGTTCCTCCAGTGCCTCAGGTGGCAAGCAGGCCCTGTGTTCTGCCTGGAAGGCAGACAGCTCAGCCTGGAGCTGGGTCTGGAGCTGGAGTGCTGGAGGGCCCTCTAAGGCCTGAAGCACTATGGCCCCAAGGCCCATGGCCAGCAGGTGGGCCACAAGCAGGAGCAGGTATCGGGCCCAGGGCTTCAGACTCCCCATAGCATGGCACTGAGTCTCAGGCAGTGAGAGAGCTGCCTAAGTCACCACAGGCACCAGGGAGGGGTTGTGAAGGGCGTGGCTGGGAGGTGCTGCGTGGGTAGGTGGGGTGAGTGTGAATGGAGGGAGGTGAGCTACAGCACTCCCAGCAGCTGGACACTGGGGGTGGGTGGAGGAAGACACTTAGTGAGAAGAATGGGTGAGAAAATTCTAGCCTGGAGAGGGCCTCACACCTACTCAAAGTCACTTTTTCTCAGTCATGTATCTACTTGATTTCACTCATTCAGACACCAGGGAAGACGGCAGACACAGGTTTCTGCCCTCCTGGTGCTCACCCAAGAAATCTGCTGAGAAACCACCAGGGAGGGCAAGCTTCTCAGGAAAACTCTTTGAAGGAAGTAATGTTTCAACCAGAGACTAAGAAGCCAGTTATGAACTGGGTGGTTGTAACGCATGCCTTTGATCACAGCACTTGGGAGACAGATGCAAGCCTGACTTCGAGGCCAGCCAGGTCTACAGACATAGTTCCAGAACAGCCAGGGCTACACAGAGAAACCCTGTCTCGAAAAATAAAACAAAACAAAAGCAGTTGTGGCACTGGAGAGATGGTTCAACTGTAAAGAGCACTGGCTGCTCTTCCAGAGGGCCTGGGTTTGGTTCCTGGCATCTACATGGCAGCTCACAACTGCCTATAACTCCAGTTCCTGGGCGTCTGAAGAAGGGCAGATTTCTGTGAGTTTGAGGCCAACCTGATCTACATAGTGAGTTCTAGGTCAGTTAGGGCTACAGAGTAAGATCATATCAAAATAAATAAAATTAAATAAAAATTTAGAAATAACAATAAAGTCAGGCATATAGCAATCAAGAGACTAACCATGAGGAAAGGTCTGAGGTCATAGGCCTTTGAGAACAGTGGACCCAGGGAAATCTCTACAGGATTCTATGGTATTCTGAGTGGAATTGTGGGATTTAGATGGAAGTAGGGGAGAAAAATGAGGGAAGAGCACTCTGGACAGGTGATGCTGCCAAACTTCCTGTCCCAGCTTTTGCTGAGATGTCCTGCCTCCCTGGCTGGCTAGACTGCAGCCCTGGAATGGCTGCCATGTGTAAGTGGGGGAGGGTCACTCAAAAACCACAGAGGAACCCTAGCCTAGGACAGAAAGAACCTCAAAGCAGGATCAAGAATGCCAGGGTGGGTCACGGTGATACCTGGTGGGCGCTTATTCTGCCTATATCCAGGCCATGGGCTAGAGATAAACCCAGCACAAACCCTCAAGATTTTTCCCAGAGGGCTATGGGAGTGAGATCTATTGGGGTGGGGAAAGCATGGCCTGGGAAGGATTCCTAGGGATGATCTTGCAGCTGGGCTCAGAAGACAGGCAGGAGGGACCACCCACTAGCAGGGAGCAGCAGGGCAAACCTTCACTTGAATGGTAGAAATGTGGAGCGGACAAAGGCTGGCAGTGGTAACCAGGCAGATGAGATCAGTTTCTGCATAATGCTGGGAGGTGGACAGGGGCCCTTGTTGATTATCCAGATGGTAGGCTGGGCCCTAGGAGAGGAGTGTGGTACCAGGCAGTCTAGATTTGTCTCAGGCTATTTATTTGCCTATTATTTTAGGGGCATGAAGACAAGGAGACTGGATTACCTCCAAGAAAGGTAATAGACTGCATTTGGGGAGACAGCTTACGAGTTTATTTGGCTTAATTGGCTCCCCAAGCCAAGGCCCCAACCTTGGCTGGGGCAGTAGAAAGGCACCCAGAGAGTCCCAGCTCTGAT